ATTTTTAAATTATGAAGAATAGTGATAGGTGTATTGTTAGGAAATGAGATGATTATTTATAAATTCTTTTAATAGTATAGGTTATAAGAATTTGTTGCTTTTATTGTGTTTTCACTACCATTGTTTCAAACAAAAGCTGCATAAATCTCTTCAAAGCAACACTATCAATTATTATTATTATTATTATTATTTGTCAAAAAACTAATGCAGCATACATTTGTTTACATAGAAATATGTAACTTATACTTATTGGTTTTTTGATGATTTTTTGTTTTTTTACGAAAAGATATGCAAAAAGTAGAGAGAAAAGAAAATCTTTAACTTTTTGATATAAGTTGATGACATTTTGATTTTTTTAGTGATTTTTTAATTTTTAAAGTAAAAAGTGATATTACCAAATGAGACCTTAATTTTTTTCTTACCACTTATATATGTAAATATATTATATATATATTTATTAATGTGAATTTTACTATTGTATATTTATGTAGAGTAACACAATACACTAAAAAATATTAGTATAGCTTTACTTGGGGGGTTGTGACGACAGTGGTAGTTGAGGTTGAAGGGAACAATGATATTGCCATTGGTGGGGTTAATGGCAATACACCTTAGGTGTGACATACTCATAATATATTAAATAAAACATCTAAATTTAAGTAAAAAAAATTGTGACTTCAAATTCAAGCCTATTTTAAAAGGTTCTTAAAATTTCAAGGATTTTGATTATCAAATAAAAACTTAATTTATTTTCAATTTAAGTACTAAATTGAGTTATCTTATATCACCTTAAATTAGGGGTAAGCAACAGATATTTCGATTCGTCCAAACCAATCGAACCGAACTGATCTGTCGCATTTTGGATGGATAAGTGATGACGAGCGGATGGTTATAGATTGATTTTTTTCAATCCACCTAGTTTTGGACAGATGGGAAATTTGAGGTTCCTTTGGCTGCAATCAAATCACCAAACCGTGAGCACCCCTAGTAATTTGTAAAATTTGGTGTTTTCAATTTGCTTAGATATTATGTTTGTATTTTTAATTGAAAAAGAGTTTAGATGTTATGTTGTATTTTCAATTTGTTTTTATGGGAAAATATTTTGAGAATGACACCGCGTGGCCAAGGTGCCTTCAAGATGTCGGTCGAGGTGCCACGTAGATGAGTCAATTGCGGCTTTGTTGAGGTTTGGTGCGGTAATGCCGGAATTCGAGATATTCGGATAAAGGATAAGAGTCCTAAATAACATCAAGTTACCTATGTGGATAAAGATGAGACTCTTGAGGAAGTTCATCTTAATCTGAATAATGTGAGTTGTAATAGATGTTATCCTTGTAAAGGATAGATAGGAGTGTAAAAATAGCCCGCGGCCCGAAACCCGCCCACGGCCCGGGGTGGGCTCCACCTGAGCCTGAGATCCTAGGCCTGAACCATCATTTTGAAACTCGACTCAACTCGTAAGCCCTGCCTATCGGTCCGCTTAAGGCCCGACCCACCCGAGACCTAGCATCTTTTTTAGTAGAAAATAATAAAATTTTGTTAGAAAAAATAAATAAATAAAAAAACAAAAAAAAAAATATTCAGGCCCACCAGCCCGACCAATGCCCGAATACCCCTTGGGCTTGGGCCTAATTTTCTGGCCCATAAGTCGGCCCGGCCTGACCTGAATTTTGGCTGGAGCCCGCGAGGCCCAACATGGGCTGGGCCAAATTTACACCCCTAAGGATAGAGTTCCATGAAGTAAAACTTCTAACGGAAGTTAGACACTGATCATTATAAAAGTGAGGCAACCTCCGTGGGTTTAAAGTATGCTTTTGATTGTGAATTGTGAATTGTGTATTTGTGTTGATATCTTTGAAAGATAAGTTGACTGATTTGATCGTTGGAGTGTCCCCCGGTGGATGAGCCACTGCGGTATTTCTTGTTTTCTTGTACACAGGTGCTGGCTTAATCTATTATGTCGCGTGCTCTCCAGTTAAGTTCCCTATTTGGCTGTGAGATCAAAATTCAACACCCACAGTTTTCAATTTGAAAATCTTTTATCAAATGACAAATGTTGATATTTGATATTTTTGTATGAAAAATATAAGACTTAATTTTATCATTTAAAAAAAAAAATCAAATTAAATAGTTTTTGAATAAAAAAAAAAGTAATGAAATAATTTTGATAATGCATAGTTTTTTATACGTATTTAATATTGGTATTTGACAATTTACTTAATAATCTTTTGGTTATATTGAATTGGATTGTTATAAAAAAAAAAAAAAAGAAGAAGAAGAAGAAGAAGAAGGTTGACAAGTTGTTGTATTATGTTCAAAATTTGTAAAAGTTTAAACCACCAAACCGATTCGTATCCATTCACCAATTCGCTCAATCCACATCTGTTAATTCGGCGGACAGATGTAGATTGATTTTTTTTTTTCAATCCGCTAATCTGGCAAACAGATGATGGATTGGAGATTTTCCAACCATAACCGAACCGTGAACCTTAAACAAATTTTTCTGATCACATTCTTTCTTAGGATAAGATTCTTAAAAATGACATTGAACTAGACTATGCAATAATTTTATTCCTCTCCAATATTGTATCATACCATTTTTCCAAGCTTCCAAGGGAATATTGAATTTTTCTTTCCAAGGTTAATACATATCACTATTTTTCAAACAATACCAAATTACTCTTTTCTCCATCTCTAAACTTAGCCCTAACCATGGCCATTGTCGGCTGTCACCGCCACCGCCACCGCCTCCGCCTCCTCAGAACATCGCCTCCGATGACATCGTAAAGGTTAAAAATGTAATTGACTAAAGGGATAAAAATGTAATAAAAAAAAACTATAATGAAATGATGGGTGCCTCTATTTACACACTACATTTGGTTTCAAGGCACATCACTTACTTAATGCACACCAAACACAATTTTAACTTTATTATTTTTGCTCAATGCACACCATCCATTTTCCAATATACTTAAAATATCTTCATCTTCTTCAACCACCCTACCAACCCTAACCCTAACCCTAGCCGCCGTTACTCTCCACAGGTCGTCGCCTCTCCCTCTTTCTTCTCTGGCGAATCTCTTCCTCACTCATCCATCCATCACTCTCCCTGCCTTACCACTTCCAACCACACTTCCAAACCTTTTTCCACCCCCAGATGTTGCCTTAGTCAACCCAAAATACAAGAACAAGCCGAAAGCCAGACTCAAGCCCACAAAGAATCCAAATCAATTTTGGTAATCGCACTGTGACCAATAAATCCAAACTCTAATTCCAGGTGCCTCTTTGATTCACAAGTCGCGATGTAATAACAATTCCGAAATTGTGACTTGTGATACTTCTTTAGTTTGCGATGTGTGCGATCTAGGGTTTCAATACAAAACCCAGTAGCTGCGAACCCAAAAAAGAGCTGAGAGGATCTGAAGCTAGTCGCGAAAAAGGTCCATAGTCAAGTTGTGAAATCATCTGTGTAATGCCAAACTCGAACACTAGTTTCCCAAAGATGCAGCACCAGAGTGGACCAAATCGCGAACTGCCGACTAGGGTTCTTGAGAGTTTACGAACTAGAAACTTCAAAATAATGGAGAAATCAAGTCGCAAAATCCAAAGGCATTAGGTCACGAAGTAAGAAACTCAAGTCACGAGATCAAAGGCTCTGTTCTTGACAACACATAGGATCAAGGAGAGTCGATCTTGAATTTGGAAAGTCGAATTTCAATCAACAGGAAGAAGGGTTTGCATAGGGGAAAGGGGTCGCCGGTAAGGTAGGGAGGTTGTGGGGGTTGCGATGGTGGCTGGGTTTCGGTGATGGTGGCCGGAGATAGAATCAGGCAGCGGAGAGTGGTGCTGTGTGAAGGGTGTATTGATATTTTTTTTTGGTCATTCTGGTCATTTTATGTAAGGTCATTATTGTAATAAAAAATAACCAATTAATGGTGTACCTTGAGACTAAATATGGTGTGTAAATAGAGGCATCCTAAAATGATGTGTATAAGAGGATTAATGGTATATAAATTTGTAAATAGACTTTTCCTTAAGCATTAGGACATTCGTTGACATCGTAAGCCTCCCTTGGAAGTAATTGTAGTGTATTCAAAGTTCATACTATGTTCGATGTTTTAAACATTACAAAATTAATCAAAGAAATAGAAATGAAAAAAAAAGAAAGAAATTAATTACACCAAGATCCCTCAACCATAATTTGAACTCATGTATCAATCTATATATTTTGACTTCTTAACCAAAAAATTAAAAAAAAAAAAAAAAATGTACAAAACCCCCTTTTAGAGGGGAGTAAAAGTGACGTATTTTTATAATTAAAAGAATTAAAATGTAATTGCTCATATATGAGAATAAATTGATATCACTAATTGGTGATGAAACCTTTGTGTAATTAACCCTCCCTCCCAAAAAATAAAATAAAATAAAATAAAAATTGCATGTTTCTACAATCAACAACAGGGGTGGGGTAGTCAAAAAGAAGGATCTCATATACCATAATTTGAACTCTCATGCAAAAACAAAATTCCAGTCAAGCAGTCAAATGGTCCCAATTCATAAAAAGGTCGGTTTAAAGGCCAGCATGACTTTAAATACTGGGACCTTATCCTTTCATCTCTGTATGGTTCACATGAAGATGTGCCCATGTAAATTGACAAAGTTGCACTTTCCCCTGCATATCTTGCTTATTGTAAATAAAATCTTCCGAAATTATTATGTAGTTGATCTCTTTTATCAATTTAGTCCTCGTAATTTTAATTATATTGACTGTACTCTTGAAATTTTTATATTGCATTAATTTAGTTTAATTGATAACACTTTTTTAGAAATTGAACTAAAATTAAGGGACAAAATCATCAATTTGATTGATAACACTTTTTTAGAAATTGAACTAAAATTAAGGGACAAATTCATCATTTTGAAAAGATTCATTCCCCTTTGAATAATCTATTTATGCCTATCCAGTTTCTTTGTCAATTAGATTAAATTGACACAATGTGAAAAATTAAAAAACAAAATTGATACAATTGGAACGATAAGGACCATAGTAACATGAGGCAAATTACATGACCAGAGGTATATTTTGCCATAAAATCTTTCCTTCTCTACATGAAATAAAATAATACAAGATCCATGACTTGTCACAATCTACCTAGACCAACAAGAAATCAACAACCAATTCATCAACCAAAGAAGTTAGAATCCCCTTCTCAATCTCTACACCCTCTTCAAATTCTTCAATTTCAAAATCAACCCATCTTCCATGCCAAGAGCTCATATCTTTGTTGACAAGCTCATCCACCATCAAATCTCCCATGCTTGTCCAACTTGATATTTCTTTGTAGAATTCCTCTGTCAACCATCCCATCCTTCCGAACAACATTGACCGTTTAGACCATGTTTTGCAGCTTGCGCCAAATAGATGCTCGGATCTTAATTCTAGACATTCGCTCACACAATCAAACAAAACCTTTCGCTCTTTTGCATTTTCATCACCACCAGTTTTTGGATTTTCCAACTGATCAAACAAATTGGGTGTTATCACCTTGTTGACCTGACCCAACACAAGATCATCGAGAATCAACTCTGAATTGCAAAGAATTTTTGTTATGTATTCTAATTGCCACTTGGAAGATTTCTCAAAATCTATCAAACTGCATGTAGTAGAAGTATCCTTTCCACCCATGTATGTAGCTGATGTGGAAGAAGCTGAATCAGATAACTCTGTCTCTACTTCCACTAATTGGCACTTTCTTGCAGAGACACAATCAACCATTCCACGAGCCTCATCCCATAAACACTGATTGAAGCCTGAAATTGAGCATCTTTGATTAGAACATGCATTTCTGCAAATTTGCATCTATTTTTGAGATAACAAGCCTTATTTCCAAAGAAGCATATAGTTTTGAGAGAAGTCCTCATATATGTGTGAGATTTTCCATGCAGCATTTCTACAGATTTTCGTAACTGTTTGGAGAATTCCCAGTCGAATCTATTCTTTATTCTTTTTTCATGGACACAATCCTCAATTCCTTCCAAAATTTTCAATTAATTTGTCAAAAATATTCCCCATTATTTCCATATATATGAGTTATTCATCTCACTAGCAGTTTTTGGAGCTTGAAATTATAAATTGTGCTTGGGTAGAGTAATAGAGAAACCAATGAAAAGAGGATTTGGTACTTTACCATTGCTAATAAAACTAGTTTTGCTATCTGATGAGTAGCAACTTCCATACGAGGAAGAGGGTTCAAGGTTTGAGATTGGACTAGGAGATCGGCAATCAAGTTCTTTTACACATTCACTGCTGTTGCTGCTACTGCTGTTCCCTTCCATCTCTCCAAACCCCTGAAGATGTTAAAAGAGAATTGAGTTGAATATTAACCATTACAAGAACAAATTTGGATTCACAGCTACAAAAAATTCACCAAGCAGGATGACATTTCTCGCTGGCATCAAAACATGAAAGGGACAACAAGACAAAATCAGAAGTTAATGGGAGTCTGGTCATATTTAAGTACTTACTTAAAAATATTGAACCAAGTGAGCATGTATTTACTCGTGCATATAATAATATGACATTGTGCACAGACATTCTGGAGGAACAAATAATTGCAATGTAAATTAGAAAAGAATTGAGAGATCAAATTTCTAGAACTCAACAAACCTCACTTCAATTCCTAAAGGTTGGCAACAAAAAATCCTTCTGCACCATTTATTTATTAGGAAATTCATAATTCTGATATTTTTCTTGAATTCAAATGAGGATAATCCATTATTTACATGTAAAATCTTAATTAAATGATGTGGATTGTGGTGTAGGGTGCATTCTGAAAGGCTAGACCTCTGTGCTCGAGCGGGCAAGCAAGCAAGCTCAAAACTAGCTCAAAGTGCACTCAAGTAGACAAGAAAATTTTTGAATCCCTACATGACTAGATTTGAAAAACAATAAAAATACATAGAGCATTTGTTTTTCAGTCTAATACACACAAACACATAGAGACATTCATAGTTTAGTCCTAGCCTACCTAGAGCCCTTGAATATTTTGGAGATCTTGTTTACATATATTCAAGAAGAATTTATGCTGATGAACTTTGATTAGTGAAAACTCTCTGCAAAATCAGATACACTTTAGCACTTTGTTAATTCATCGTGTGCTGGTTATTCCCACCATTTGGCCTACTGAAATCAGAGTCCCAAGGAACATAGATCTAGATAAGAGAAGGCTGACAACAGTGTCATAGCCATTTATGAGTGTACGTTGTTTATTTAAGTTTTAGCCTTAAACTTTTGATCTAGTAGATTTTAACAGGCAAGAGTGTCTGTAGTTTTCTACTTGAGGGTATTAATTTGTTCCCAATGATTTTTCGAGTACATCCAGGGTCGATCCAAATGCAAGGCTGTTGCCTTGGGCCCCCAACCAAATTGGAGAAGACCCCACCTTTTGTAATGCCTATATAATATGTTATATTTTAGTCTTGTAAAGGAGAGACCCAAAATAATTGGTTAACAAATCCAAAATTACTCTACATTTTTGTAGCACACATTTCTATAAATAATGTACAACCATTCCAAGCTAAGTAACAAATGCCCTTAGAGCACCCGTTATCTTTTTTATTGTGTCATAAATCCCAAGTCTTTTCACTATCACAGGTTTTAATTTTTATAGCACACATTTCTGTAAATAATGTACAACTATTCCAAGCTTAGTAACAAATGCCCTTAGGGCACTCGTTATATGTTTTATTATATGTTTTATTGTGCCGTAAATCCCAAGTCTTTTCACTATCAAAGTTTTAATTATCCTTTTATTTCCTATTAAGTTTTAAAAACTTAAAATCACTAGATGATGACCTATGAAGCACAGGTACGGGTACGGATACGGGTACGAGTACTGGTATTGGTACGATATGGGTACGTTGATACGGTAAAATCCAAAAAAAGTAGGGTACGGGATACGGCTTGATATGCTTGTAAAAAAATATTTATTTTTAATTTAGAGTAATATAAAAATTAATTAAATGGTTTAATTTGTTACGATCAAACTAGTAATTAACATTTAATGTCAAAAATAAAGGTATAAATCAAAATTAAATATCAATATATTAAATAACTTATGAACCACAATTTAATTTTAAAATCATGCTAAGCATAAAACTAAAATAAAAAAGAAGTCTAGTGAAAGGAGTTTTATTATTGTAGTAGAAGAAAATATTGTTTCAACTGAGGTACGGCACGGTACGGTACGGCTTGGATATTTACTAAGTACGTCTGGGTACGCCAAAAATTAAGAAGAAAAAATTTGAGTACATGTTTCGTGTACCTGCTACGTATGCAGAAGTACCATATGAGGTACTATACGCCGGTTAGTGTCCGGTACGGGTATGACATGTTTTTCGAAGTATCTATGCTTCATAGATGATGACAGTTTGAAACAATATCGTCTTCATATTAAAATATACAAGGTCCTAATCAGCTTTGAGAGTCCCAAGTTCTGCTTCAAACCCGTTCCGCATGGCATGATTAACAGAAGGCTTTATTGTGAACATTTCAGAACAAAGTTTGAACAATAAATTGATGCAATTATACTTCTGTGTTTCAACTTCATTGCTAGTCTTATGAAGTAGCCACAAAAAATGATAAAAAGTCAAACACAGAAAACACAGTACCAGCAGATGAAATATGTTAAAAAGGATAAATACCTGCCACTTTTGTTTAGCTTTGAGCCGCAGATCATCAACTGAAGCCAAATCAATATCATACAGGGGGCTTGAGTTATCTTTATGCTGATTAAGCTGAAAGCTATTGTGATGTTCTGTTGAGAAAGAATTCATCACGTTGAGAGTTGACAGGGAATCTTGCAAACTAAATGAACCAGAAGCACTCCCAGATTCAACAAGGTCATAAGTAGATGACTCAACTCTACATGTTAATTCCTTAAGCTTTTGCTCAAGAAGAACATTCAAAACATTTCCACCAACCTCATTCAAGCCTGGAGAAGATAAAGTCGGATTTTTCAAGTCATGTGGATCATTGTCATCACAAGGATCAACACAAAAGAGGGCCCTCTTTTCCATGACTTCACCAGAGGACTGGGACCCAGGTGCTAATCTTCTAATGGGCGATGTGAATGTAAACGAAACAACATCCATGCTGTGTTTCCTGTCAAGTACGTCCCAGTTCAAGCAGCCATCATTTGCAATGTTACATTTTACAGACCTTTCATGTCTAGTGATCGATATGTTCTTAGCAACACTTTCTTCAAAATGAATATCCTTATAGATGGGCCGTTTCTTTTCATCAGAAGTCTTTGTTTTAGACGACAGAAGCTCCTTTCTAGTATCTTTTGCAGCAGAATTCATTTTCCTGCACACAGTTCCTGAGTTTAGAACCTTATTTGAGGTCTTATTTGGCCTAACAGAACCATTGGTGGACGGAATTTTTCTGTCTTGCTGGTTGGATATTGAGGCTTTGGCGGCTAGTCTGTCTATACCACCTACACAATTCTGCTTCTGATTATTATGCTTGAGCACATCCATAGTCCTGCTTGTAGAAGTCCCCTTTTGCCCACTCTTTTGCACATTCGATTGGCTCTTATTAAACTGGACCGGCTTAACCTTGTCATCTAACTTTCGGTTGATTGAACTCCTATTACCACTTGGAGGCAATCCCTCTCTTCTCAGAACATTGACCTTTGCTTGGACAGCGAGTGAAACCGATTTCCCTTTTTTATTCAAATAATCAGAACTGTCTCGTACTGAACCCATGGAAGCATTATAGAGTTGTTTATCTCCTGATCTACGGTGGTTCTTCTCACTATGCTTTCCTTTATTATACCTAAAAGAAATCAGCTCTTTGGGTCTTTGAGATGATTCAAGGGGCCCGGAAGCTCTCCGTTCAGCCTCGAGTTTCTCTTTCAGATCCCGAATTCTCAATGGAACTGAAGAAGACCCAAAGCATGCCGTCTTACTCTTGATTGTTGATGGAGGGCCATGCTTAATCATTTTGGCAGCTGCCTCCATTATGTATGCAGCATTGTTTGTTGGGATAAACCCGGGACTCTTGATAGGGGATAACAGCCTATGGTGGGTAATTGGAATGTATTTGGCTGATTTTGGGGGCAAGGCTTCAGTTTGAAACCTCTCAATTGGCCGGCTCTGCACCTTCTGCAGCCTTGATTCTACAACATTCCTCGCAATTCCATCATTTGACATGTTTATAATGTGATGCTCAATCTGAAAATTGTAAGTACTCCTTTGGGAACAAGAATCTTTAACAGAAGGAGAGTCAAAAAATGGGGTACTGGAGCACGGATCAGAAATAGTAGTAGGCATAGAATCCAGTCCCATAAGTCTGGCAACCACACCTGGCACTCTAGTTTCATATCCTTCATCACTAGTCACTGAGGAAGCAAAATTATAATCACCATTTTTTTTGCCTCTCAGACCTGGTCCATTCTCATGCGCCTCCATCTAAAAATATGGCAATAGTAAAAAAATTATCATAATTGTAACATCATGTTATATTAGTAAAAAGAAATAAAATAATGAGAGAGAGAGAGAGAGAGAGAGAAACGCACATGCTGAGGGTGTAGTATAATTGAATTTGCAACATTTTCTTTTCCCTGCTGTGAATCTTCTGCAGCCAAAAAGACAACACCATATTTAAGAAAATTAATTAATAAACAGTACAATCAGCAAAACAAGACATTAGAAAATCAAAAAATTAAGAACAAAGATGAACACATATGATCAAAACGTACAAAAGGGTCAAAATAAAATCTGTACCAGGTAATTCTGACTTGTTCGAGAACAGCTTCTTCCTAGATTTAACATTCCAGTCAAACAACTGAAGAAAACCCCCTTTTGAAGCTCGTTTCTCAACATCCATTTTCTCATTGACACCCCAAAATCATTTCAAGATTTACAGAAACTCAAATGCATCTGCAATGTAGCCTTGGATATAAGCATTCTTTGGTATGATCCAGAAACAAATTCACAGAAATAATTCTACACACACCAAATTAAACTACAAGAAGTAAAAATAAATAATTACTAGGAACGTACAAGACAGCATGATAGAGCCCACCCGATGTATCATCAGTCAGCGGTACCACATATACAGTCTAGTACTTTTATGAGGTTTAATTGTGTATGTAGAGTTACTCAATTCAAACATTGGAGCTTTCAATGACATTCACACCTTATATCCCTCCATTGCTCATTCAGATTCCAAAAATAATATCAACATTAAAGGTGCATAAAAGAGGATTAAACAAAACACATTTGCTATTTATAGATTAAGAAGAATATCTAGCTTTCTTTAATCAGTGTTAGTCCAAACAGCTATGTTTGATCAAGAGGCATGAAAAAGTGGGCCCTCTTCATCCAAAATTTTTTCACCCTACATTGACATTCAAGGTTCTCCAAAAGCCCTAGTTTTCAAGCAGCAGAGAGAGAGAGAGAGAGAGAGAGAGAGAGGGCAAAGCTGTTCCATCCATCTAACACAAGATAATTTAAAAAACCCAATTCTCCAAGATACCCAGTAAGCATAAAAACTTAAATCAAAACCACAAATAATCAGAAACGGCAAAGAAAAACATGTATTTTTGTGGTGTGTAACAGCTTCAGTTAAATGGGTAAGCATTTGAAAAATAAAAAATAAATAACTCGGAAAGATTCAATCAAGAACTCACTAGAAATGGGTCATTCTCTGTATAAGCCCCACTTTCAAGACTCCCAAGAAGTTTGTTTTCCTTTGAAGTAGAAATCAAACTGAGAAAGAAAGCAAGATCTGCAATGCCTAAAGGCGAATATAGTAGAGACAATGAAGACAAAGAGATAGAGCTATAGAGCTCCAGAGAGAGAGAGTGAATAGGAGAGAGACAGAGAGAGACAGAGAGAGAGTATTAAATTGGGACAAAGAAGGGACGACGACTTCACCGTTACAAAATTAAATGCGGTGGTTTTTGGGTTCTATTGTCAGTGCATTTTTGGCTGAGTTCAGAGCACAGTGCACTCTGTTTCAGAATCTGGCAATAGAATAGAGAATAGAATTACCCATTTGAAGAAGAAACAACCTGAAACTGCCTCAATCTTTGGATTAGGGGGTCATCTTTGATCACAATTTTACAATCCAACCCCACCCACCGCCCAAAAAAGTGAATTCATGAGAAAAAGGATAAATTACACTTTGCCTTCATTTTATACTTGTCACTTTTTTATTTTGATTCTTAATTTTTTATTTTTATTTTGACTTTGGCTTTTTATATTTTTGATTTTTCTAATTTATTTCTAAAACTAATTTATGTGCAAAATTAGATAGAAAATATCACGATAGCTGTCATATAATAAAAAAATCTATTATTATATTAATATTTGAATTTGTGTCAGAAATGTGAATTATATATAATAAAATATTTTTATATTACGTAATTATTAATGTGTCATTTTTTGTATAATTTTTAACAACAATTAAGTTAAGGAGTAAACTGAAAAAAATTTAAAACATAAAAAGCGAAAGTAAATATAAATAAATCTTAAAAACCAAAATAAAAAATATCAAATACGAAACGGTTGAAGTGTAATTTACCCAAAATGCTAGGATCTATTGCCTACGATATTTCATTATTTATTGGTGAACCAATCAAAAAGTAAAGTTCATGACAAGAGTTAGGGAGAATTACGACCAAAAAAATTAAAATTTGAGTCTGGTAATAAAAATAAATTTTTAATTTTATCAATTTAAATTATTATCTTTTAATTTCTTTTCAATTTAAACTATTTATCTGTTTTTGTTAAGGGGTTGTTTAAAATGATCAAAATAAATACATTTTTTAATTTTTTACGAAAAGATCTGCAGAAAAGTAGATATGTAATATGACCTAAAAAACATAAAAAATAACAAAAAAATTGTACTAATATAGGGAATGCCAAACAACCCCTAAATAAAATCGATAGAAAAAGAGAATTTTAATCATTAAACTCAATATAATAAAATGTCTAAAAGACTTATTTTTTATTTACTTAATGAGAATAGGTAAATAATTTAGATTGAAAACAAAAACAAAAACAAAAACAAAAACAAAAAACTGAGAAAGAAAGCAAGATCTGCAATGCCTAAAGGCGAATATAGTAGAGACAATGAAGACAAAGAGATAGAGCTATAGAGCTCCAGAGAGAGAGAGAGAGAGAGTGAATAGGAGAGAGACCGAGAGAGAGAGTATTAAATTGGGACAAAGAAGGGACGACGACTTCACCGTTACAAAATTAAATGCGGTGGTTTTTGGGTTCTATTGTCAGTGCATTTTTGGCTGAGTTCAGAGCACAGTGCACTCTGTTTCAGAATCTGGCAATAGAATAGAGAATAGAATTACCCATTTGAAGAAGAAACAACCTGAAACTGCCTCAATCTTTGGATTAGGGGGGTCATCTTTGATCACAATTTTACAATCCAACCCCACCCACCGCCCAAAAAAGTGAATTCATGAGAAAAAGGATAAATTACACTTTGCCTTCATTTTATACTTGTCACTTTTTTATTTTGATTCTTAATTTTTTATTTTTATTTTGACTTTGGCTTTTTATATTTTTGATTTTTCTAATTTATTTCTAAAACTAATTTATGTGCAAAATTAGATAGAAAATATCACGATAGCTGTCATATAATAAAAAAATCTATTATTATATTAATATTTGAATTTGTGTCAGAAGTGTGAATTATATATAATAAAATATTTTTATATTACGTAATTGTCAATGTGTATTTTTTGTATAATTTTTAACAAAAATTAAGTTAAGGAATAAACTGAAAAAAATTTAAAACATAAAAAGCCAAAGTAAAAATAAATAAATTTTAAAAATCAAAATAAAAAATGATCAAATATGAAACGGTTGAAGTGTAATTTACCCAAAATGCTAGGTTCTATTGCCTACGATATTTCATTATTTATTGGTGAACCAATCAAAAAGTAAAGTTCATGAAAAGAGTAGGGAGAATTACGACCAAAAAAAAAAAAATTTAAATTTGAGTCTGTAATAAAAATAAATTTTAAATTTTATCAATCTAAATTATTATCTTTTAATTTCTTTTCAATTTAAACTATTTATCTGTTTTTGTTAAGGGGTTGTTTAAAATGATCAAAATAAATATACTTTTTAATTTTCTACGAAAAGATATGTAGAAAAGTAGATATGTAATATGACCTAAAAAACATAAAAAATAACAAAAAAATTGTACTAATATAGGGAATGCCAAACAACCCCTAAATAAAATCGATAGAAAAAGAGAATTTTAATCATTATACTTAATATAATAAAATGTCTAAAATACTTATTTTTCATTTACTTAATGAAAATAGGTAAATAATTTAGATTGAAAACAAAAACAAAAACAAAAAAAATTAAGATTTAAATTGATAAAATTTAAAACCCAGGTTTTATTTTATTAAAAGGCTTAAACTCTGAGATTTTTGTTATAACTTCCTCCCAAAGAGTTACAGAGAAAAATGGCACCAAAATCTTTCTATGTAAATTTATGTCTCATGTCCTAATGCAATTCAAGCATTAGATTATATTTGAAGACTCTTATATGATACAATGGTTAAGCATGCATTAGGATAAAAGAATAAAGGATAGGGGCTGTAATTCTCTATCCTAGTTTTACCTCGTAGTTCTCTTTTTTATTGCTCTTCTTCTACCACATGTCCATCAAACTTTCCTTCTTTTCCATCTCCTTTTCCTCCGTTACTCTCAAATTTCTACTATTTGGTTTGTTTTTGGAGGACTTTGAAGGAATTAAAAGACCATAATCGAATAGCTCAAATCCATATGATCGAGCTTTGAAAATTTCACAAGGAGGTATGAAGCTCTCTCCAACACCACCAATACTTGGTTGTAATAAATAGAGAGAAGTTGGCAAGGGCCGAGGCCGAAGGGAATAGAAGGGGGAAATTTGAAGTGGGGAGGAAATAAGAAAGAGTATTTATTATTATTATTAATTATTCTGAGAGGAAACAAATAGATAACTCATTCTTGAAAATCAATTTGTAAAAAGAGGGTACCCATTCAGTTTGGCCTGTGACGTTGATTATAGGTTCTATTTTGATAATTTAATATATTTATTTTTAAATTTTGGTGTATACATCATTTATTCATGAAAAAATTCAGATTGAGTGATGATCTTAGTCATACAATGTTATTATTATTCTTTTTAGAAAAATAAACTTCCTAATATTTAAATTTACACTTATCATTTATTTTATTTTTTAAAAATAAAAATAATGAAATTATAGGTTCTTTGCATATGAAAGTGTTAGCTCACATATACTGCAAATAAAGGTAGCCTTTACATGCCCAAGTCCTTCACACTTAGGCCATGTTTGTTTGGGCGGACTGGATTAGCATTCCCATAACTAATAGTCCTAAGACTACGAATCCGTTGGATTATGTAGCCTATCTTAACTAATAGTCAAGTTTAAAATAATTAATCCGTACTTCAATTGTTTAACCAAACATCGGATTAATAATTTTATTGGACTATTAGTCAAATCCCAAGTTCATGTCTACCCAAACAAACATGGCCTTAAAGTCCATGGTCAATCATGTCATGTGCCACAAGTCATGTTGCTGGTAGAGAGAGAGAGAGAGAGAGAGAGAGATCCTTTTGTAGAATGGTTGTGAGAAACATGCAAAACACATAATAATAATTATAATAATAATAATTGAACATATTGTGTATCAAGATTCAATCAGTGGGTAGGCCTTGAGGGACTGTTCCTATGTAGAAACTTTCAAAATCTTGGTCACATATGACTCATGAGAGCATGTCATTTTTACATTGGTACAAAATCAATTCTCTATGGGTCCCTCTCAAAAGTATGGTCTTCCATAGCTCATTAGTCTTGTTCACTACTCCTATCCCCAACAACCATGAAACACACATAATTAACCCCCATTACTATCTCTTTTATTTTAAATAATAATAATAATAATAACACCAATTTGTCCAATTTGGAAAAGTATGAGCAACCTTTCAATTTATACTTTTAACTTCGATAGGTTTAGTTTATATTGTTTTAAATTGAAGAATTTGATCTCTATATTTCAAATTTAATTTTAATTTAGTTCTTCTATGTAAATTGGAGATTAAAATTAACGGTGGTATTTGGTTTAATTTTGGAATCACAATTCTAGTAAAAAAATTTCAAAACTCTAACCAAACACACAGCTTAAAACTCAATTTAAAAATTATTTTCAAAACTCATAATCAAACACACAACTCAAAACTCAATTCAAAACTCTTTTCAAAATTCAAAACTAAACTCTTTTTCAAAACTCTATTTTTTTTAAAAAAATTCAAAAAAGTATTTTTTAATTTTTTTTTTGAAATTATTTTTAGAATCATGATTTAAGTGTAGAGTCGTATTTTGAATTATGAGTTTTGAAAAGAAAAAATTTGTTTGGTTATAAATTTTCAGATTTTTTGAATTTATTTTTTTAAGGTAAATATTTTATATTTTAAATATTTATTTATTTGTTTTAATGTGTATTATATTTCATACATCTATGTGTTGTATTTTTTTTTTAATATTTTAAATATATTTTTTAAATATTAAAAAAATTTAAAATTTATTTTTTATTTTAAATATATATTTTTTTA